CCTGCTGACAGGAGAAGAGAAAAGAATACTTGTTTATAACGGTAAGCTATTACCAAAAAATAAGTAGTAATTATTTAAACTCCAGCAGGGGGGAGCTAATACATATAAACGAAGTTTTTAAATTGGCAGCCTCTATACAAAAGTCCAACACATGTAATTTATCATATTGATACCAGTAATGGAATGTGTTAATAGAAACAATTATCACACATTCAACAGCTCAAATTATTAAAAGTTTTATCTTCCTTAACATTCTATTCAGCATTGAGCAGATGAGACACGAAACAACATACCATGGACAAAATCATACACACAGCAATCACCCTAAGTCGGGTCCTGTCTTAAGAATTCTTAAGACACATTCATGGTCTCACCACTAAAAATGTAAAAAGCCTACCAACAGTTAGACAGTCTCATTCAACAAGCAGTACAAAAAAGCTTTCAATCCTAGCTTCAATAGCAATATATTACAGCAATATTATCTTTTAAGTTTAAGTCATTTTATGCAAGCAACTTTTTAAAGTAGGTTAAGAAGACAAAATATTTATATGTCCTTGTACAGAGTAATATTCAAGTCAAACAGTGATCTGGAAGCAACCCAAAAATCTCCTGTTCCATTAATTTATGTAAATGCATATATACACATTCCAAATAAACCACTAAACTAACCACAAAAATAAATTTGGGAAAAAAAAAATACCAAGGTGCAGTTTTCTTGCCCATTTTCTGTAGCACTTTTTTTCCTGTTTCTGAAGCCCTTACTTTGGATGACAGAACTTTCTTTACACAGCAACTCAGCAGCAATGGCTTCTGCGGATGTTTTAGGAAAGTGACGACTGTTTAAAACTGAAAAGTGTCAATAGGAAAAAAAAGCAAAAATGTTTTCTTACACTGAGTGTGACAACAGGTATTATATATTATTAAAACAGCCTTGCATAGAGCTTATGCAACTAGCACATATACAGTTGAAATACAACCCTGAGTCCGTTTGAATTATTAGTCTGATTGTTCTTTATGAGTACTCTTCAAGTATTAAGTAAAATCTTGAACTTGCCAGCTAATTTTCCCAACCAATTTTGCTTATGTGGATAATCTAGCAAGAACAGGATGTAACACTAGTGATTTTAGAATGACTGAACAAGTTGAAAAGAATTTGAAAAGAAAGTCTAGGTTTTAAGCACAATATACAAAGAAAAAAACAAACAAACCAATATCCACAAACCACCACCCACCCCCGACAACATCTTGTTTCTCAAAATATAAACAAGCATGTATCTGACTTGCCAATACCTTTTACAAGGCACTGAGCACTAGAAAGGATAAATTTGAGTTCCAGAAGGATATACCTGAATGGGAGAAGTTCACATACACTGTTGTAGCACTGGCTAATTCAGGCTCTAAGACTGTCTAAGAAGCTAAAGCTGCAAGGTTGGGCATAATCAAGAGCAAGACTTTGTCACACAGTTATAGATTAAAGATTATTTGATACACGTTCAGCCATATTTCAGGAACTGAAAATAAGATTGAAGTCGTCAAATGGACAGTAACAACCTTGACTGTTCGAGAGGTTATTGCAGGAAAACCTTGGCAACTTAATGGAACTTTGGCTTCTACATCTAAGAAAAAACTTTTGATAATTCTTCCTGTACTGAGTACTGCACAGTAAATTAGGTACCCTGCAAATAATTATGATACAAACGTCAACATGTTATTTTAAAAAAGTGAGGGGTATACATTGACAACACTTACACTTTATTCCAGTGTCAAGCTCAAACGCATGGATAGTTTCCAACAATCCTTCAATTAGTTGCTTAAATCTGGAATTTTCTTTCAGACTTCTGAAATAACATCACCACATGAGTTGTTTCAAGACAAACATATGGGTCAACTATATTAATAGTTCTCCTGGAATTTAGGCTGAACAAAAAAGGATTAAAACTCCAAAACGGAAGATGAGACAAAGAGAAATTGTCACCAAGAAATAACACCACAATTCCCCAAAACAACTATTTCTGCAGGAATTACAACTATCACAAAATTAAAATTTCGCATGTTCCTCGCATAGGATTGGCATAGAGAAACTAGTTGTACGGACTGAACAATAATACAGTCTATACTTGATAGCACAAATATTTGTTAAGAATGGTGTCTCCACCTGTGATCACTTGAAAAAGTTTATATCGAGGTAAGGCACTAAAGACTTAACTCCTTTCAAAACTGAGAGTTTACTTCATAACCACCTTTTGGTTATTTCAGTCTTCTGCTAAAACATTTTTAAGATAATGATTAACTTGTCCTTAGAGCTCAAGCTTCTTATCTTCAAGCCCACTTGCAAAAACGCATTACCTCTTGGTAACTTCAGTCTTGCACAGAGGACACTGTATCACACCTTTTTTCTTTTTGCTGAGGAGTTGGAACATGCAGAACCTAGGAATAAAGAATAATCACAATGGTAACAAAAGGGAGGACTTTATTTTCTTTAGAACTGAGCCTAGGCATGCACCACTTAGTAGGAATCCTTCACTATTAAGTTGAATGCCTGCATTCTTGTTCAGGTATTACAATGAATTAATCAATTTCTTCTGACACACCTGTGAAACTGCAGGTATTTCTTATTCAGAACTGATTTTGCCCCTAAAATAGCTACATATTAAGTTATCAAAACACAGTATACATCATCACCACTAAAGAAGTAGACATGGAGAATAAGAACAAATAGACTAAGCATTGCAATTACAAGTTTTCAATCCTACCTGCAGAATACGTGATCACATTTTGTTGAAACTGGCTCTTCTACAACATCCAAACTACAAAAATAAAGGAAAACAAGAACACAGAAGTTACAGATATAATAGGAACAACAAAATACGATTCAGAAATATAGCCACTTTTCTCAACTTAAAAAAAAATAAAATCTTGGTGGGGAAGAGAAGTAGGACACATTTGACAATTTTTCATTTGAGAACCAGGTACAGTAACAAATACTGTCATTATGTCATACGTACACACCTACTAGCTCTTTACAATCTTTATCCGCCAATGGCGATACCTCAGCAAAAACCATGCTGCCTTTTCAGAAAAGTTTGCATGCAAGTTTTTTTCTGTGTACCACTACAGACATTCTGTGCTTTCTGCTCTGTGCCTTTGTAAAGATGTTATTATCAACACAGAAATTATTTTGGTTTTCCAATGGCAGTAAAGCCTTTCCAAATGGATTTAAAATATAATGATTTAAAAACATCTGCCACCATAGGCAAAAAAAAACTTGAGCCATTTGAGTCAATGGAAGCCAGAATCTTTCAAAAGCTTACCAGACAGCCTAGGTATCAAGGCTTTAACTAGAATCTACGCTATTTCAGCATTTGTTTGCATTGAACAACTACAGACCTCGATTGAGGTAAGTGAACCTTTTAGAGACAAAGGACAACAATCCCGGCTGCTTTACAAACAATACTCTAATTCAATCAGCTACATGTTTTTCTTAACTGGATAAAGGACTGACACATTTAGGTTGTAATAGAAAAGCAAAGTTTACTAGAACATAAGAGCAAAATACAGGTTCTGTCTTGCACTTTCTCACTTAAGCCTTACAAAACAACAATACTCTTAGCCTTAAAATAGAGTTCTTTTAGTTTCTGATAATCCATAAAATTGACAAAGCATTTGAAAAGAAAGAGAAAAAACAAAAGACTCATTTCCCTATCCTAATACAGAGTTCACATTATTCTCTTGGCTTACCAGATTGGACACTCCAAGTTCTTTTGCATGGCTGAAAGCACATTTTGCACGTCTCCAACAGCAATCATGGAGAAGTCCATTGCATCCAAAAATACTCTACAGAAAAAAAAAAAAGTAATCAGTTTTGTTTCAGATCTGTTGCACTCCGTGACCGTGTTTTCTCCTGTATGGCTTTTCTGTAGCACGCGGACCAGTATCGAACACTCAGCTGCTCCTTCTGGAGTGGGGCTTTATAGC